TTAAAGTGAAGGTCAGATAAGGTCAAATTTGAGCCTGAATTTTGGAGTTTAATCCATGCTTTAGGGTTTGAGATTAACAGTCGGTGGGAGCAGGTGCCGACCTTCAGACGCAGGTCAAACAAACAGTCAATCATTATAAAAGGGCATTTCAGAAAACGTCACATAAGGTCACATTCAGCCTGAGGTTTCTATCTTCTTATTATCTGACCACACAGTATCTCTTCCACAGCAGAGTATAGATTTGATGATTAAAAAGGTGACCATCCTCCACAACACCCTTAAAAACGCCACTGCACACACATGATGATAAATGATGGTGAGTGAACACGTGAGAAGGAAAAATCACAAAGTCAAGAGGTCAGCTACCACTCTACCCGGCTTGTTGACATACAATATATTCCTATAGGTCTTTTTGTAGGAATACATGAAAGATTGAAGCAGTAGACAATCAGAAGTAGACACAGATGCTAGTGATGCTCAAAGTGAGGGAATACTATGAGGATGTACTTGGTGGTGCTTTGAGCAAATGGTACCAGTAGCATGCTAACAATGCAATGACGTTAAGGCTTGCTAGAAACTAAGTGCATTGTTAGATAACGTAAAAAATGTGCTTTTCAACACAACTTTTGTGTTTTTCAAACATTTAATTTGCATTTAGATGCAACCCATCTTTTAAAAGTAATCAGATGCTTTCAGGACAGAGCACTCTCAGAGTAAAAGTAGTGATATCACACTGTAGAAATACTCGTACCAGCCGAGTCCTACAGTAGTATTAGAATAAACATATACTTGAAGTAACGAAAATAGTCCCATTTCAGATGAACATATTTGTTATAATTGATTTGTTAATCTGTTCCTTTTCTTATAATTTATATACTGCCAGGTAGCTTGTTTATATAAACCTTTAATACATACTATGTTGATTATATTTAAGAATGCTCCTCTGAATCTCCAAAGTAATAATTCAAGTTTTAAAGTTAAAGTACAATATGCATAGTGTAGTAAAGGAATTGAAAATACTAAAGTTAAGAGGACGTACTTTTTGCTGTGAAAGTTTACTTAAAGTGGACCTATCATGCTATATTTGAATAATATAGTATAGGACCATACCTATATAAGGCATATTTATACTTTTTTTTTTCAAAATACCAAACAGATCATGCATTTTAGCCATGCCTCATTTTGCTCAATTTGACATTTTTTAGCTCTGTTTTTGCAAGGGCAGATTCAGTGAGAACAGCACCATCTACAGGCCTGGCATATGTACTACAGCGTCTCCAGCGCTTTCAAACGGCAATGGCCGTGGCTGTCTCCTCCTGATTGGTGGAGTTGGCCCAATAGCCGTAGCGCCACCGTCCTGACGTCAGGACAGTGTTCAAATCTGGATCAGTTTTTATCAGATCCGTTGCAGCCCCTTTTTTAGAGATTTGGGTATGGAGGAAAATAGAGAGGGTTGTGTTTTCTGACACTTGGTGAGTTCCCTGGAACACCGGGGACACATATTCATGTATAAAAGACGTACAAAAGTGCATTTTGCATGATAGGTCCCCTTTAAAGATGGTGCTGTTCTCACTGAATCTGCCCTTGCAAAAACAGAGCTAAAAAATGTCAAATTGAGCGAAATGAGGCATGGCTAAAATGCATGATCTGTTTGGTATTTTGAAAAAAAAAAGTATAAATATGCCTTATATAGGTATGGTCCTATACTATATTATTCAAATATAGCATGATAGGTCCACTTTAAGTAAAGTACTGAGTTACTGTCCACCATTAAAGGAGATAATGTTGTTTGTTTACCTGTCTACAGGTTGGGTTGTTTGTTATTGAGTTCTTCTCAACAGATAATTTCCTTTCTACATATTTTCAGCCTAACAAAGAGCTCCTGGCTCACCTCGCTGCTTCCTCGTTTTGATGAGTTAACTCCGCAGCCAGCTTCCTCTTTTCAAATACTTTTTGTTTTGTTTCTTGTAGATTTGCTTGTCCTAAAACTGAGGATCGTGATCACATTGTTCTCTCACTTTGTGACTAACGTCTTCCTCAGAAGTCCTTTATCAAAGGTTTGCTTGCGTTAACAGCTCTCACTGTTTTGTCTTCAGACTTGGTTTGCGATATCACTTTGTGTGCTTAGTACAACCACAAAGATTTGCTTGAAAATGTTACCGTAAGTAAGATAAGCATTAAGCTGCATTCTATGATGTGTTTAAAAAACTAACGGATAAGGGAGGGTTGTTATGCTCAGTAGGAGACAAAATGGTTGATATGAATTCAGGCGGGCGAGGACATCAAACTAGTGTGTGAATTACATGCGTCTGAAAAGAAGGAAAGTAAATTATTTTAATAGTTGTTTGGCAGAATTTGACTCATTTAGTCAACAGTAAATACAATTGTTTAAATGTAGAAACTGCAAGCAGGATTTTTCTCGTCCTTTTTTTGTCAAAAATCACTGCGACTGTTCTTATCTGTGTTATCTGTGTGTGTGTGTGTGTGTGTGTGTGTGTGTGTGTGTGTGTGTGTGTGTGTGTGTGTGTGTGTGTGTGTGTGTGTGTGTGTGTGTGTGTGTGTGTGTGTGTGTGTGTGTGTGTGTGTGTGGGAACTTCAGAGATACAGGAAGTGGCAGGGTTATCTGGTGAAGTTGGTTTCCTGTTGCGGTTTCTCACTTCTGCTGCTGATGTCAAACAAGTTCAGTAATGCCTCACACACTTTCTGCGGTTGGAAGAAGTCAATGTAATATATATACCGTATAATAATAATATTAACAAGTACATAATATTGTAAAAAATGGATATATGTATATATTACAAGTTAAAGTCATGCTTTCGAAAAAAGTAATCAAAATATAATTTAGTACAAAAAGTACTTCTTATTCGTTATGGCCCATTTTATAATAAAGGACTCTACTATTGATATATTAATATGTTCACCATAGTTGTTGGGGCTCAATTTAATGTTGCTGCTAGATACTTTAACCTGTATCTGTATGTGTATGTTTATTTATTAGTTGCTTTATATTCTGTATTACCGTAGAATCTGAATCTGTAAAGTAACTAATGCTGTCAGTTCAAAAGTAGTTTACAACATTGACTTCCAAAATGTAGTGGAGTAAAAGGATAAAGTAGCATACTTAAGGACTTCACTAAATATACATTTCCCCACTGCTCACTCATTATGTCCGTGCTGCACTCTAACATTAACACTAATTCAGGCACAGTGACTAACGTGTTTCCTGAGGAGGCTCCTGTTCTCCCCCCCCACACTTTGTCTGGGCGATCAGGTGGGAGGCGAGCATGACGAACCTCAGCGCTGCATCACAGCTATTCCTGGAGCTGCCATCACCTCCACTGTATTCATGAGATCTCACACGATTCTGCCTGATATTTTCAGACTTACTGACAGCTGTGTGTTAATAAAGAGCTGCTGTTCACATAGTTTGAGCACACACACACACACACACACGTACATGCACATGCACACACACACACACACACACACACGTACACGCACATGCACACACACACACACACACATACCATGCATACATAACTTCAGGGGACATTACATTGACTTACATGCATTTCCTGGAGACTTATCCTAACCTTAACCATAAAACCAACACATGCCTAACCCTAACCCTAACCCTAACCCTAACCCTAAACCTAACCAAGTCTTCACCCTAAAATTAATGATTCCCCTCATGGGGACCTCCATTTTGTCCCCATAAGGGAGGCGAGTCCCCACACGTGACTGTGTAAACAGATTTAGGTATCCACAAGTATAGTAATGCTAGGCCACACACACACACACACACACACACACACACACACACACACACACACACACACACACACACACACACACACACACACACACACACACACACACAAATAGAGTCACAGACGGGAAACCAGCATTTGCTGATTATGTTATGTTGCGTCCACAGGAAGGAAGAGATCCTGCAGTGACACATGCTATCAGTTAGGTAGAACTGCAGACAATGGCCCCTCCATCCCATAAATATAGATAGCATCTCTGTGTGTGAGTAAAAATGTACCCTTACTGTAAGTTTTTACCCTATTTTACTTCACGAAAGATTTAAAAAATAAAGAAAATACCATCAATATATTTGGCAGATTGCTGCATTTGTGAAGAAAGATAGTACTACGTTTTGTGTACTGAAAGGATGTGTGTGTGTGTGTGTATTTGTTTGTCCGTGTGTGTGTGTGTGTATTTGTTGTGTGTGTTGTTGTGTCTGTTGGACAGAGGTACTTGGCATGGCTGTGTGGCATTCAGCACCTGCTGGCTAGAAGAAATTACGTCAACAAGAAGACACCAAGAATGTTCCTTTCCCACTGTTTGAGAGAGACACAGAGAAGCCTCTTAAATCTGTATTATAATTAGCTTTAAGTAGTTAGCAACACAATTGTCTGAGGTCACATCTATGCTATTCTCTATTCTAGGAATACTTTATAATATTATTAGTTCCAAAATAATAATCCTAAAGTTTACAGGAGTCAAAGTAGTCATAAGTAACATAGGCCATGTAGCACTTTTATGCTATGCTGGCCTTTTAAAAATATGATTTTGCTTAGTTTTTAGGATGGTATAGTAATAATAAGCTTTAAATCTCTACTATACAGGCTGTTGTTTACTTTAAATTATTATTATTAAATAGTGGAGGAAAATGTGTATGTATGTATTTGAATGTATTAACATTATTTGTTATAATCATTGTATTTTTAACAGAAAAATTAAAAAATATGAAATACAAAATGAAAATAATCTGAATTTTCTTGGAATAAAAAACGGATTAATTAACAAACGCTGACGTAATCCGGTTTACTACACTAAGTACTTATTATTAACCCTATAAACCAGAGTGCATTCATTAAAGCAACGTCATGATTCACATTCTTTTGGCACTCAAATAGTTAATGCTTCTGCGCGTGCACGTACATGCATTTAGAGTGTGTCGGGGGCGCGCATGGGCGCAGCGTGACCGCGCGACAGAAACAGATCAGACGGCAGGTCGGTCGGTCGGTGAACGGAGAGAGACACAGACACAAAAGTACCGGCGATACAGAAAAAACGGTAGACCTGAGGCTTTCGGTGTCTCTGTAGGCGGTGGCGTTGGTTCCTTCTCCTGTGGACTAAGCGGGAAGTTTTTTTATTCAACAGTCCGGTGGTCAGATTGTCCACCATGACGGGCAGTAGGGAGGAGGAGAGGAGGAAACTGGCCGACATCATCAACCACTGGAACGCCAACCGGCTCGACCTGTTCGAGATCAGCCGGCCCACAGAGGTAGGAGACCCCGCAGACACACGTAGGAAACACCGTGGTCCTACAGGGCCTTTCCTCTCGGGGTGAATGGGACGTGAGCTGTCTGACACTTGGCTTGGAAAATGTTGAAAGACAGGCTTTTGTGGGCAGCGTGGTTTACTTGGTTTACGCGGTGGTTTAAGTCCCCGTATGTGCCCTGGAGAGAATACATGCCAAACTCCATTGAGAAATATAGTGATTTACTATGTCGTCGTAAGGCCTTCGAGATTAAATACAGATATGAGAGTGGATTTCTTGCAAAAGGTCAACATTGACATTTCTTCACAAATCGGCCTCATTTTTAGGTTAAATATTCCTTTATAGTAACATTTCCCACTTCAGCTAACCACTAGCTACCGCCCACAGCTGTGTAGCTAGTGGCTTTTTATTAGGAATTATTCTCTAATTTATATATTTTATAAAGCCAGTTTGTGCATAATAAGTATGCCGAATTTGACTTAAGGAAAACATGATTTATTAAGTATATTGTGGGATGTTCACATGTTTTGGAAATCTCAGTTTTATTTCAATGCATTTTGTTATTTTAGTATGTTTTATCTGACTCTGAAAAGTGTTTTAACTACAGCTGTCAGATAAGTTAAGTGTAGTTGAAAATACAACATTTTACTCTGAAGTGTACTTGAGTAGAAGTATAACATTGCACGCAAAGCACTTTATTCATATGAACTATATGAATAAATACCAATACATACCAATTTCCTTCACTAATTGATCAAAGAAATGCAATCCTGCATCAAACCTGTGAAATATGATGTGTAGTTTAAGGTAAATTATAGTATATTTTTACTGTATTTCTTGTCTGTCAACATGATTATTTCTCCACAAATCGGCATCACATTTAGGTAAAATCCTTCCTTTTTTAGAAACATGTCCCACTAGTCAGCTAGCTACAGCTACCGCCCACAGCTGTAGCTTTATAGTATGAATAATTATCTTTAAAGAGACAATTTGTAAATTTTAAACAGGCCGAATTTGACTTAAAGAACAAAGCTTTAAATATAACATATTATGGCATGGTCACATAATGGTCTACGTGTGCGACAACGGAGTGAACACTAAATTGTCAGATATTTTTAATGGAGTTTGGTGTGTTGTTATCTCCCACACAGAAGGGAACGTATTGAGGCTAGCTAGCTTAGCAGGCATATTACCTGTGGAGCAAACACGAATCATGCATACATTGTGTTGGGTGTAAGAAAGCGACCCCCAGAATCAAATGCATTGTCTGTACTACACACATTATTGTTTAAATGATAAGCTGAAGTGGTGATATTTCCAGCTATGGCAGAGTTAGCTGTGTGTATTGCTCGAGTAGCGGGCTTGCAGCAGTGGGCAATGGCTGACAAACCCAGTCACACGGTGAGGTTGTTTGATACGCAGGGCAAATAGATAAAAGCTTAAAGTATTAGCAACAAGCTAGGCGTCAATGCTTACATCAGGTATGGCACATTTAAAAGCATGCATGGTATGAGCTTAAAAAAACCAAGCCAGTGCAATATCCATGTCGCCCTGCATTGTCCTTACATTAGCTAGCTAGATGCGACCTGCAATAATTTGACAGTACTGTAATTAATCTGGACACAGGTTGAGGGGTTGTTTACTAAAAACATGCCAGGATTTGAAACTCCTTCCTGCATGATTCAGATAGCAAAGCTACCGGAGTATAGCAAGTGCTTGCTCATGTGTTAAGTCCTTAAGGAGTTAGTCAATAACCATCTATCCTCACTCTTTAACCGGTGCATCTCATGCCTTAGTAGTTTTGATTTATAGCTATGACCGTGATGGCGTCAGCTGCAGTGCCTTTTTAGGCGGGCAGCCCACCCCCCATCTCCTTGGATAAGGGTGTAGGGGGGCCACAGGGTCCCCTCTCCTCTTCTTGAGCCGATTAATTTATCAGGATTGAAGCTGGCCAGCCGTTGGCAAGAGTTGTGTTCTGGACACACAGCCTCTCCATTCTGTGAGCAATGATTAACCCAGTCCAGAAGTGCTCATAGGCTGTGCTTCTCTCAGTGTACTGGAAGCATTGCTTTAGTGTTGCTGCTGAAGACTGCTCACAGTTTTGTCCAGTGGAACATGAGTAAATGTAAGCAGATGCATGGCCTTCCTTGACACGCCACACCCTCCCCATATGTCAGCTGGTCGAGCCCCCATGCTTGCACAAGTGTCCTTTACACCGTCTAGACTTCTCCTCACTAGCTTTGCATGAAATATGCTGCACATGTAATTATATATACAGTGTGATCTGTGATTGACACTGATTTTGGACTTGATTTACCACAAACAATCGTCGTATCTGATAATGAACAACATTTAATTTGTGAATTACAGCCCAAACTGCCTCGGAGAGCGGTGAGATCATTCGTGTGATTAGATTAGTAATGGATGGCTGATTAGTCTGGAGCAAAGGTTCTCAAACTTTTTAATCTCACAAACCAAACTGAATAAGTCCTGCTGTGGGACTTATGGTGGGCTGATTATAACATAACAGGTACTTTGTGTCACGTGGGATGGGGACTTGCTATAGACAGAGACATGGGGCTTATTGTGGCAGAGTTCAATAAACACTAGGCCTGAAACATGTAACACAATACATGTACTGGAATTCGGATGCAATCACATTAACAGTTTGTTTTATTTGGATTAAACGATTGTGGTGTGGGAATGTTTACTCTGCTTCACTTCTGTTTTTAGGTTGTGTAGGTTTACACTTCCCAGTTTTAAATGAACGTGAATCGACTAAAGATTGCTAACCTATATCTGTTTTAGCTTTTGGTTGTGAGTGTTTGGTGGGAATAGATTATATTATGTTTGACATTTTTATATTAGTTGTCCTCATGTGTTTAACACTTGTGGTTGCAGTGTCTGGTTTGAATCCAGTTTCAGTTTAGACCTATGCTTTTCACAATATGATTGCATTTTATAGCGACAACATGTCACCTAAAAATAAGACTCCCAGTCCTGTTTGAAGAGAAGCATTTGTTTGTTTTAGGATTGTGAGCACAGTCTGCAGAATCTGCAGAAATCCTCCCAAAACAAAACATTTGTTTGTGTAAAAGTTTCAATGTTGACAACTGATATCCAGCAGCTCTTTGTGCTTGGAAAGCTGTGCATAAGAATACAAGTTGTTGTCAAGATAGTCCTGAATATAACTTGGTAGCGCAGTATTGGAAAAGCAAGATATCTTGATTTTCATAAAATGTCAAGCCAGTCCTTTTCACCCAACCCAACTTCAAAAGTGTTACCACATATTTAAATCATTAACACACTGACACATATTGTACATGACAAGCAGCCCTTGTCTACAGTAGAAAGGAAAGTGCAAGATAATTGATAAAGTAGATGATTAATATCAGCTTACAAAAGTACTTTCAGTATTCTCTCGTTGTACTGTATGTATTAGGGATGGGAATTTGAAAGCAAATGTATATTCGAATATTCGACCCCCAAAAAAACGGTTAACGGAAATGTACATATCCTATAAAAGAAAAATGTGGGAAACGATAATAAAAAGTGTTTAAATTTGCAAAATAAATAAATACATGTTCAAATAAGTATAGAAACCAAGTCGAATTTGTCAAATGTATTGAACTGGTGATCACAGTTGACAGCTATAGGCCTACAGCTTTCATGCTTAAAACATAACTTGGTTTTTAAATGAAAGAGGGATCATACACGAACAACATAACGGGTTAGGGTAACGTAACCCGATCACAACAGAGATCAACAACCTGTAACAGGGCCTATGCACAGAATGCAGCTATTCAATACTCATTCTTGTTTAAGAATATGAGCATGTCTACTCAGGGGAGAGGCGGGTGTGGAGACGATTCACAATCAGGCCAGCTGTAGAGAAGACCCTCTCAGCTGGAATTTAGGCAGAAGATGAGGTTTGAGTCTGCGTGATCTGCGTGTAGGGAGGGGCAGCAGCCATGTCATTAGCTAGAACTAGCTAGATCTGATGGATTTGGACATAAACGCGAGTGAAGTATAACCGGACGCGAGAGAGAGAGATCAGCACCTGCAGCTCTGCCCGCTGTGAGGGGCCGGTGAGCGGAGCAACACACACCTTTAGACCTAACATACTTAGCTATGGCACTGTCGTATACATTGAATTATTCCATTTGATAATATGTAATCAACTTAGGCACCCGTCCAATAAAAACTCATATTCTCATATTCGAATACCTGAATAATTTCGAATATTCGATTAATCGTTCCCATCCCTAGTATGAATCAGGCGATACTATTAAGCATGAGGAAGTGCCTGTGACAGTGTTGTAATTACCAGGAAGCGCTATTAAAGCCAGTAATTACATGTAATATTGTTGATAATCAGGCAGGTCTGACTTGTATTATGTCGACATTTACCTCGGCTCGGGGCAGTTTGGAGCTGTAGCGAAATGATGAGGACTTCCTGTGTGATTTTCATTTTAGCTGTCAGTAAAAAAATTAGAGTTCAGACAAAGGTCAGATCCGTTGAACTGCACTTTTGTTATGCGTGTTATGCAGGTAGGACATTTCCTGCCCTGGAGTGCTGACCTAAGGAATCTTTCCACTTTTTATCCGGAGCAACTCAACAGAGGCTTATGGTTTCAAAACGGGAACAGCAGCTTTTTTGTCCGTCCAGTTCTCAATAGATCCTGGCTGGAAACAAACTTTACCACCAACACGACTATAATTAACTGAACACAGGGCTGTGCGATTATGGCAAAAATCATAATCACGATTATTTGGGTCAATAATTGATATCACGATTATTAAATACGATTATTCATTGAATTTGAAAAAATCAATTTATTGAACTTTAAAACAAATACAAAAAATAATTTGAACAGTATCTTTTTAACTGTTGATTACCCTGAACGTATAATTCAACTGAAAAACCAATACAAAAATAAATTAAATAAATGATATATTTCAATAAATAATATCAAAAATAATGGAGCGCACTTCCACAAGCT